GGACCTCTGCAGTTCTCCCTGGCATGCTCTCAATCACCTTCTGGACCAAATCCTGACTGATAGCCGTCCATTCTTGCACAATCAATGCTTGCATTTTGTCAGAATTCCTAGGTTTTTGTTTGTCCACCCGTCTCTTGATGATTGACCACAAGTTTTCAATGGGATTAAGATCTGGGGAGTTTCCAGGCCATGGACSCAAAATCTCTGTTTTGTTCCCTGAGCCAGTTAGTTATCACCTTTGCTTTATGGCAAGGTGCTCCATCATGCTGGAAAAGGCATTGTTCATCAAACTGCTCTTGGGCGGTTGGGAGAAGTTGCTCTTGGAGGACATTCTGGTACCATTCTTTATTCATGGCTGTGTTTTTAGGCAAGACTGTGAGAGAGCCGACTCCCTTGACTGAGAAGCAACCCCACCACATGAATGGTTTCAGGATGCTTTACAGTTGGCATGAGACAAGACTGGTGGTAGCTCTTACCTCGTCTTCTCCGAACAAGATGTTTTCCAGATGTCCCAAACAATTGGAAAGGGGATTCATCAGAGAAAATGACTTTACTACAGTCCTCAGCAGTCAAATCCCTGTRCCTTTGGCAGAATATCAGTCTGTCCCTGATGTTTTTCCTGGAGAGAAGTGGCTTCTTTGCTGCCCTCCTTGAGACCAGGCCTTGATACAAGAGTCTCCGCCTCACAGTGCGTGCAGATGCACTCACAYCTGCCTGCTGCCATTCCTGAGCGAGCTCTGCACTGCTGGTAGCCCGAYCCCGCAGCTGAAACACTTTTAAGAGACGGTCCTGGCGCTTGCTGGTCTTTCTTGGGCGCCCTGGAGCCTTTTTGGCAACAATGGAACTTCTCTCCTTGAAGTTCTTGATGATGCGATAGATTGTTGACTGAGGTGCAATCTTTTTAGCTGCGATACTCTTCCCTGTTAGGCCATTTTTGTGCAGTGCAATGATGACTGCACATGTTTCTTTAGAGACAACCATGGTTCACAGAAGAGAAACAATGATGCCAAGCACCAGCCTCTTTTTAAAGTGTCCAGTGCTGTCGTTCTTACTTAATCATGACAGAATTGATCTCCAGCCCTGTCCTCATGAACACCCACACCTGTGTTAATGGAGCAATCACTGAAACGATGTTAGCTGGTCCTTTTAAGGCAGGGCTGCAATGAAGTTGAAATGTGTTTTGGGGGATAAAGTTCATTTTCTAGGCAAATATTGACTTTGCAATTAATTAATGTTAAGCTGATCACTGTTTATAACATTCTGGAGTATATGCAAATTGCCATCATAAAAACTGAAGCAGTAGACTTTGTAAAAATTAACACTTGAATCATTCTCAACTTCTGGCCATGACTGTACAAAGCAGTTCTCATTCTTAGTGTCAAAAGGGGAAACAAAGTTTCATTTTCTGTTTCAGATAGCAAAAAAGAAAATTACTTTAAGACAAACGAGAAAAGGCTTATTTGTATTCTACGACTATCTATTCCCCCACCAGAGGGGGCGCTCGCCCGGCAGCTCTGCAAAATGAAACACTAATTTCTGTAAATAAAAGGCTGAAAACACAGATAAATGTATCCATAAATGAGTGGTATGATGACTGTTGCTCTGTGACCAAAGGCTTTGCAGAGGTGATTCATGTGGCTTTTGGCCAAAAAAGCCTTTTACTGAATACATGTCAGCTACTGCCTCCACTTCACCTCCATTTCTCTCAATAAAAAGCAAAATATGACAACTTTCATTATATTAGTGTGTTGTACAGTTGTTGTTCTGTGAGCAGAAAGTTTTTTCCCTCCTGAGTTTTGACAAAATCTGTGCTTTTTTACGTCAGTTTGTGTCCTCGGAGTTTTCCTTTCAGTGAGGGGTGGGCAGTACTACGACTTTGACATCGATCTGATACCAAATAAATACTTGGCAAATATATTTGATACCGAAGTCAACATCAATGCTTTTTACTTGTAATGGGATGTTCATTGAATAACTTTGATATTGTGAGCACCCCTTCTGGTGGTGAAACACTTTATTGTAGGGAGACCGTAAGTTGGCACGACCTGTCATGGATTATGAACAAACAAGCCTTTTTTTTTAATCTGAAACAGAAAATTAAACTCAAATCATTTTTAAAATTTCGTTCATCCCTTTTTGACACTAAGAATGAGAAACACTTTGTATTTTAATTTTTATTTCAGTATTAAGACAAAAATCAAATATCCACTCGTTTCTTGTTTTTTAATACCCTTTTCAAAAATGAGAATCCAATGACCAAAAGATACACTGACCGCCCGCCCTTTATGTTCACACTGTTCGAAGAAGAAAAGTCTGATTTTTGTATTTAATTTAGTCTCGCACTACTTGATCTAAAGGATTATGACTTTCAGAATAAAAAGCTCCAGTTTTTCTTTAAAACTCAGATATATTAAGTCAATATCCAACATCTAATTACGTACTGAAAATCAATTACTGTGATCCTCATGAATTAAAGTTTGCAGAAATGAATTTTTATTTTATTTGTTTATTTATTTTTTGTCTGAAGTCAGAAGCTTGTGAAGATTCCTTCTGTTCCACTGGTGTTGGTCTAAATGTTTGCTTTTAGAAATATTGATGACAGRTAGTTGCTTTGTTCCACTGCAGTTATACAGTGTGTGTAAAAATACTTTTACTTTCCCAATTCTTGTGAACAGTTTTATAACATTTACACGAGTAGTTTTCTCATCAGTGAAACGTATTTTTACCAGTCATTTTCTGTTCATGTAATTTTACTTTTACCTAGTTATTTTTTTCAAGTACTTTATAGACTTCTGTCACCCACTACCATGCATGTCAGCATTTTAAACAAAAAATGTGAACTAAAATGTATTTTAGCGCTGATGCTCATCTACTACCACAATTTTTTAAATCATTGTTTAACCAGGCAAATCCCATTCAGATCACTGATCTCTTTTTTCAAGGGAGGCCTGGGCCCAGTGGCGGATCTAGGATTTTTCAGTGTAAGGGGCCATCAAGGGGCCACAATATTCATAGAGGGACCAAGTGTTTGTTCATCCTTGCACACAAATCCCCAGTTTTTTGTAAGGTTTATACATTTAATCAGTCACATGTGTTCAAACACTTGTAAAAGCTTGCACAGTAAATTCTCCTAATCAGTTTTACATGATTTTTTTTACTGTACTTAAAATACTGTCAAACACACATGATGTGAGAAAATCTACCCATCATTGTAAAAAGAAATTTCTGCAGGATGGTTCAAATTGAAAAAGACTTCTGTAAGCTTGCTTCATGCTGGACTTTTCCTATGTACTTTTCCACTGGCGCCACTAGTGGTTGGAAGTGGAACTGCAGCCACCATSAATGGGCCTCATRCAAGAACCGTTCGTACGCACAGATTTGTTCTTAAATTGTGCGTACGAGTGATTTAGGAGAATTTGTGGCATTCACCAATGTTTTCGTATTCTACGATTTTTTTTCAGATACGAACAAAATTTACGAGTGGTCCAGACCTGTCGTATATTTTACGAACAGCCAGTCTGCTGTTATCCAGACGGGTTTTCCTCCCTAATAACTTTATATTTCGTTAGTTTGAAGATATTTTGAGTTGAAAATAAATTACACTCCATAATTATGTTGACAATAGGCTATTCTGCTTGAATTAGAGTTATAATTTTAAATTTAATAATTTAGACTAACAATATAAACTGTCCGTTCGTCCGTTTTCCGCCGCCTATCCGGGATCGGGTGCGGGGCCAGCCGCAGAGAGACCCCCCTCTCCCCTGCTACACCTTCCCTCCCCTGCTACGGTGCGCTGCGGCTTCTGAATAAATGAAAATGATTTAACACAGTTGTTTATACTATTAGCAGCTCTTTTTATTCCACAGCTGACCTGCTAAAAATGACAGATTTTCTTTTCTGGATCTCTGATAGACGGACTTCAATCTCTGAACTCGTAAAGTTTTTCTTTTWAGTTTTCGCTGTCATTTTCATGAATGGACACTTCCTGATATCTGAGGCAGGAATCATAGCCTTATGTGGTGTATTTGGGGTGGTAATTATGCTAATCTCCTCTCGCGTGCACGAGCAGCTGGATACGAACAGGTGGAATTTTACGCAGCTCATTTACGCACGTTTCCTGAAGATAGAAGTGTTTGTTGAATCTGACGTGACAAGTTCGTACGAATCCTTTGTACGAACAAAAGTAAGAGAAATTTAGGATAAAAATACGAACATGTTCTTGCATGAGGCCCATTGTTCTTGTAAGAGGACAGGGGCACATCAGGGGGCCAATAAGATTTCATATGTGGCCCCGCCCCTGCCTGGGCCTGAAGGCAGCCCATTGTACATAATTTTGAGTTGTGGGCGAAACCAGAGCAAACATGCAAACTCCAAACAGAAAGACCCGGAGATCGAACCCAGGACCTTCTTGCTGTGAGGCATCAGTRCTAAMCACTGATCCATCGTGCTGCCCAATCTGATATCAAATTTTAGCTTGAAATCTTTCAAATAAACAAAGATCCATTAGCTGTGGTGGCCATCACATTCAGTCGGTTGTGAGATATTTTGCTAACATTCCATGGCTGTAAGTGATCCAAACCAGTAAGCTTTCTTTATGAAAGCAACATCTGTTACACCTCAATTACACATTCTAGAAACAGTGAGGCCTTTTAATATTCCATTCACTTTTCTTACTCATTTATAATTTAGAAACACCTGTTTCATCCAACTTAAAGGTGACTGATGAGACCTAATTACTGGAATCATCCACAGCCAATAAGGTGATGACTAAGATGGTTCTGGTTTGACTCATCTCTGGATGATGAATCTGTCAACTTGACAAACTAAACAAGAGAGTCCTTCAGCTGCCTGATCRTCAAACCGCCTCTAAAGAGATCAGAAAACAGTTTTTAATTCCAGCTGTACAAACAGGACACCCTGCTCATCAGAGGAACGCCGACTTTCTGTCACATGTGCTTTTTGTCACCTAGTGATCTGAATCAATACGTGAAAGGACACACCAGGTGTGATGAGCCGAAACACCGGCGCTGTCAGAACAGCACGGCTTCTGGTTCTGGCTCAGCAGAGCGGCTGCTTTGATGCCCCGGGAGTGAAGAATTTCTCTGAGCTTTGTCGGCGCACGGCATGCTGGGAAGGCTACGGCGTTCAGCGGGCTTCTGGAGATTTGATGAAGGAAGAAGGCCTGTGGGTGAGAAGAAATTTTTATTTTTTTGTATTTTACCACAGATGGTWTTTTATAAAAACCGTATGTGCTCCGTAAGTTTGATTAACACCCCCGAGATATGAAAACTTCCACAATTTAGAGCCTGGTTATTTAATATMAGCTTTGACCTTTTTCTAAATCTGTTTAAGGAAATCTGTTCACAAATGTCAGATCAATAGTAAGCACATATTACGGAGGGTTTTTTTACCCTTTAGGGACTACATGTAAGTGTCGCGAAGAAGAGGAAACTAAATTCCTACCATCATGGTCTCCAGGCTGTGAGTTGAAATCAGCAGCATCCCACTCATAGTTCTCATCCACAGAGGGATTTCTCCTACAGACACAAAACATTTAAAGCTTTAAGAGACACAATATATTTCTCCTGTCAGGAAGGAATATTTGCGTTGCCTTTGCTAAAGCTTTTACTTTGGAAGTTCTGCTTAAAGTGCCTGTGACATCAATTTTTTTAAAATAAACATGAGTTAATTTTTGGAAAGATAATATTGCAAAAGAAATTTCACACAGCTGAGATGAAGAGTTGCTGAGATATTTGTATGTGAACAAACAGGAAGTGATGTCAAAGGACAAATGTCTGCATGTGTACAGAGTTTTTCTACAACAGCTACAAACTAGACTAATTTCACGGTTTGTTTGTTTTTTATTCTTTTGAGTCACTATCAAAGAGATGAAGAATACAAATATTTAAATGAACAAAAACAGTTTTTCTTAAATAGTTCCCCTTTAATGTCACTTCCTGTTTCACTCTGGCTGAGCCCAGTTGAGTGACAGAATGGGTAAAATTGTGTTTTATGCCAAGTTTCTTAAAGATGTTTTCTTTGACTTTTTATATTTTAAGGATACACACATTACAGGCACTTTAAATTCAGATGCAATAATTGGTCATTATTGGTCATTTAAATAATAAAAAAGCAGAAAGCCATACACTTAAATACATTAACCTGACAATTAGATTGTCTGAAATATAATGTATGTGGAATAGCATCTATTAAAACAAAAATTGACCTTTTTTTGTATATAATCAAATTTTGGTTAGACAATCTGATGCCGAGTTCCAGTTGTATCCGGGGGTTGGAAGTACTGACTTATGAGTCAAAAATATCAACAAGTCGGTGCAACACGATCATACGGTTGCGTGATGTCATCACACCCTGCAAAACGTTTCCATCTAACAAAGTATTTTTAGCTTATATCCAGTCAAAAAGTACGTTTGATCTTGTTTTGAGACTGATACACRAAGCAAGAGCAGAATGCTTAGATTATTAATCTGGTTTGCCTGGAAATTTTCCTTATTTTAAGAGTCTTACCAAGTRCAATCATCTTATTCCACAGACAAATTATTTTACTATACTTGAAAAATTTGGTCAGACTAAGTGAAATAATCTGTCTAATCTAAACATTCTGCTCTTGCTTAGTGCAGCAGTCTCAAAACAAGATCAAAAATAGTTTTCATTTGGTGTTTACTTTACATTAATTCAGTTGTATTTCATAGTTTTAAAGCCGTTTGTACGTACAAAATGCAACGTAAAGCGCTATTGTTGCGTTATTCCATCAGAGCAAGAAATAAAAAAGCTCTTTCCTAATAATTCTGACAAACTGGAATGCTTTCAACTCGCATCCGACTACACAATTTTGAGTTCTGCTGCAATTGAAACACAACATCACTGTGGCCATGACCGAAACACCATGTGTAAAGACGAATCTAAACAGCACTATTGATGCATCCTGGAGTATTTCCTGCAACCAAATCATTTTTCTACTGAACAGCAAAGGAAAGGATGCTGATGTAAAGGTTTAGAAAACAGTGTTCACATCAACTGYCATAACGTTCTTAAAATTGTGCCTGTGACATCACATTTTTGTAAAAAAAAAAATGAAAGCACTTTTAGAAAGATAACATTTATTGCAAAAAAATTTTAAATCACACCGCTCAGATGAACAGTTAAGATAGTTGCATGTGAAGAAACAGGAAGTGATGTCAAAGGGGCATGTGTTCATGTAAAGAGAGAATTGCTACAACAACCCAGACTGTAGAGAAGGATCTGATGATTCTTTATTTTGAGTCACTATCAGAAAGATGAAGAATCAGAGTTTGAATATTATTGTTTCAACAAAAAGACCAGGGAGCTTTCTTTCTTAAAGTGTTCCCCTTTGATGTCACTTCCTGTTTCACTTTAAGCCAAGTTCAAAGGAAAATCAGCCAGTTATGCAACAAAATGGGTAAAATCATGAGTACTATTCCAAGTTTCTTTAATTCAAAGATGTTTTCCTAGACTTTTTGTATTTGAAGGATATGCATGTCAGAGGTACTTTAAGATATTAGCAATCTGAGCAGGACCAATACCYTACCTCAAAAGATCTGAACTATCCCTTTTAATGAGTATACAATAAAGCAGCTACTGGGATTTTTACCACAAAAGTGAAAAATGTCAATATTTGTTTAGTCGATGTGTTGTAAACCTTTACCTTGCTCTGACGTGGTGACCATCTTTGTCCTCAACGGTTTCAGGTGAGCCGTTATTCGTCTCCATGCTGCCTCGCCCGCTGCTGGCGTAGCTGCTGTAGCTGCCCCCAGACTCTGGGACTCCCTCGTAGCCTTCGGCCTCCACTTCCATGTTGTTGTTGATGGGTGGTAAGAACGTGGAGACATCTTGATAGACGACTGGCTGATTAGCAGAACCAGATGAGAGGGAGGCACTGTTTAACAGCTTATGATGGTGGAGCGCAGCAGGGTCTGGAACCAGCCACTGTGGACCGCTTCTTGTAGGTAAATGATCAACAGCAGGACTGGAAGATGTAGTTTGGACTGCTGGATGAGGACTTGAAGCGTCTGGTTGATAGGATGATGGAACAGAGCAGTTCTCTTGGCTGAGAGAGTCTATCCATGCATCTGGTGTGAGAAAAGCACCTTCCTTCTTCTGCTGCCTCAAATTCAGGCTCTGACTTCGTCGTTTGTGGTCCCAGATTTTCGAGCTTCGACTTCGAGCTCTCCAAAGTTCCGGTTCTGAGGGTCGCCGAGATTGGTGAACCCAATCAATGTTTTCCACAGAAGCAGGGCTCCCTTTTATGTCTTCATGCCGGCGTCTTTGAGTCAGTGGTCGCCCATGATGCAAATGAGAAGCAATCCTGTGGTGTAACAAAGGTTGCGTAGGCCACGTTGTAGACGCCTCAAACTCTGGCTCATCTACGCTCATCTCAACGCTTACTTCTTTCTCATCAAATTTGGGGAACATTACCTCCACTCTTGGAGAATCTGTGTCATCGAAATCTATTTTAGATCTTTCGGTGTATTGATTGCTGTGAAAAGTTAAGCTCGATGAGTTGCTGTGGCTGAGGCAGTTCGACRAATGGTTTGTTTGAATGTCTGATATTTTGGATTGGGTTGAACTTTCGAAGCCGTTTAGTGGTGCGTCTAGTCTTCCATATGTCAGGTGCTTTGAGGCAGGTCGTGGGAGAGTTCTGGGATAATGATCTGCTTCATCTGGTTCGAGAAAAGTCTGGTCGGTAAAGAGTGAAGAAGGGTAACTGTCAAAGTAAAAGGGAGTTGAAGGCGAACTGAGACGGTTTCTGGGTGGAATCAAAGTTGGGTGAGAATCGTGAGGACGGGCTTCCCACTGGACAGGAGATGACGAGAAAGAGTTCTCTTTGCTGCCTTGGCGATACTTGCTGGGCAGAGTATTGCTCTTGCACTTCCAAACAAACTGCTCAACGTCTTCCCCCTTTTTTTTTCTGAACGAGTTTCTGTCCAGCAAGCATCTCTGGAGCTCTCTCTCCAGTTGTTCTCTCTCCTGAGCCAGCTTCAGGCAGCGACTCAAGTTCCCCGTCTCCCGCTCATGTTCCATTTGGAGCACCAGAGCGCTCGCTGTCATGTACGGTTGACCGAAGCCAGATCGGATGTGCGGGAGCACCGGAAATACAGGAGTTATTTCTCTGTTGTGCTGATTGACGGTGGTCAGACTACTGTTTGTGTACAAGCTGCAGAGATCGGGATCATACGTCGTCTTCTGGTCTGGAACATATGGGTCGTGATGCTCCGTGTCACACATCTGACTCGTAGAGTCGTCTTTGGGTTTATGAGGTGGGAAATCAACAGATAGAACATACGGTAGCTCGTTCTTGTCCTCCCTTTCCAAGTGCAGTGAAACAGACCTTCTGACTCTCGAATGTTGGTCATACTTTACATTTTTTCTGCTGCCAACACTTAAGGTGTCATCGGCATACGGTGGGAGCATGAACCGCCCATCTGGACCTCTAGCGATCATCTCAATTGAGGGAGAAATCAGAGAGGTTGTTTTAGTAAGTCTGCTGCAGTTTGACATGAGCTGCTTATGGCGATGATGATGATGATGATTCTCTGTGTTGGAGGAGGAACAGTCTGTCTGCAAGGAGGAGGTGGTGGAAGAAGTGGTGGGATAGACTGAGCTGGTGGGAAGGAGGCTTTTCTTCAACAAACTGTCTGGAGTACTGGAGCCTGAAGTCTTTCTGTGAGAGTGAGAAAGAGAGGGGGAGGTAGTGGTGACAGGAGAAAATCGTAAGGGAAAGAARAAAAAAAGATGTAAGAGGAGGGGAAACAGAATGTAAAAATAAGACTGAGTGAATGAGGGGGTGGGAAAACTGTAGTCAGAAATACCAAAACAGCAGCTGCAACAGATAAAGACGAGCAAGCTGAAACAGGAAAGTGCTGGCATTTTCAACATTTTCAAAATGAAAGGTCAAAGGGAGGCTTGACAATGAATTGATAAAGTGGTACTCACATGGTTGGGGAGCATTTATAGATGGCAGGAGGGGGATCTGGAAAAGTGGGGAGAGGTGTGAAATGGTATCTGACTCATTAGGACACAACCATACTGACCAACGAGTAGAAACATAATCTACCCTAACAAGAACTAATTAAAGGGTCTAAGRCAGCCACGCTTGTYCAAAACTTAATTACCCTTACATTTATCAGCTGCTAATGAGAAATTACCCTAATTAGCAAGCAATGTAAAAGACATCAATATTGTTCACAACTGGATGGAGGAGTAAGGGACAAGAGGAGAGCCAAATCCATGTAGAAGGGTATGATTCATACAACAACAAGGAAATGCCTCAATATTTTATTGAATAAATGATGACATTCATCAAAGTGAGTGTCTCCAGAGTGTGGGCCATTTTACCTTCCTTTTTCCCTCTGCGGCGTCGYTCCCTCTTGCGGCTGATGACGTAGGCCAAGGCGAGCAGCAGGACCAGCGCCAGGCACATGAAGCCGACACCGCCCAGAACGCCCGCCAGTAACGGCTCCGGGACGAACTCCAGGAGACGAGAYGGGGTGGCGGGGTGGCTCTCTGTCCCTTTGACATGGAGATGATTGTTGGTACAGGGAAAATGAAGTGAAAATAGTGACTCACAGTAGAGAAGAGTGGGTTTTTGGTTTCTTGTGTGAAAATGTGCCAATTTTAATGTTATTTCAAAGCAACCAGTGATGGAGGCAGAGGATTTACAGCTCATAAAGGTGGATATTTCCTCTGTTTTTCCAGAACCTGTGTGCAGGTCCATGTGGCTTAAAAATAATAATCAGTGCCACAGGAGTATCGTCTCCATCTGTAAACCCAATTTCAACTTWTATTTCAGTGAGGTGAGTAAAAACTATTTGTCCAGTGGTCATGGTTTTGCTAAACCACCAATAGTGGAGCTAGCTTCTCATTTAGCGGATTAGCTTTTTAATTACCATTGAAACAGTTAGCAGACCTATTTGCTTCTGCTAATTTGAAATTCATATTAAAAACTTCAATTTTTTTGATTTTATCCCAAATTAAATAAAAGCTATGACCTGTCAGGCACCGTGTGTGTAGCATGTAGCATTTTTAGCTGCTAAATTTCAAACTAAGTGTGTCAAAGAAAATAACCAATTATAAATAAATCCAAAATTTAATTTTACTACGTATAAAATAGGGTAGACAAACTTAAACAACTAATAGTGAATACTAGTTTGATCCAAAAAATTCTTGTAATATGAAGTAAAATAATGAAAATTATATTTTTTTTTAGTTGTGGCATATTTAATGAAACTCATATTTCTAATAGTTATACACAAGGTTTAATACTTTTTTATGCTCCTATAATCTTTTTAAAGACGTGCTGCTGTGGAAAAACAAGTTTTCAACTGGAAGGAGATGAAGATGCATTAGTCATTTTAGCGAAGCTAACGCTAACTGTGATTGTCATGTTCTGCCTTTCAGCTGGGCCTCGCCTTTGGGTTGAAACCAAGAAGGTCTGAACCTACTGCCAAGACCGAAGCCCAAAACTGGATTTAAAGCTCCAAAACATTCCTTTGATTCATGCAATAAAAAGATTGTCTGCCTGTCACAAACGCTCCAACAACAATAAATGTCTCATTTGCATCTCAAACAGAAAAATCACCAGATACTGCAGGATTTAAACACTAGTCTCCATCTCTGATGAGCATCATTATTWTAATCAAATCAAGATCCTGATCGTTTCGCAGGATTTGCACAGTCAGACATCAAGCTGAAATAATCAGCACAGCTGTTTTAAATCAAATAAAATATGGGGCTATATATATA